CTGCCTCCTGAGTGCTGGGATTAAAGATGTTTGTTTTGGGCTTTTTATTTTTGAGCCAGAGTCCCATACAGCTTAGGAAGGCTTTGAACTCCCTATGTAGACAAGGATGACCTTGAACTCCTGATCCTCTTGCTCCCACCTGCTGGCATCATAGTAGTACAAATCCAACCAGCTCAACACTGCTTTTCTTATTAGGCTTTACCCTTCACCATAGCTGTGTACCCAGTAAACCAAAAGGATAGGAAAAGTCAAGGCTCTTCAGATATTAACAGTCCCCAAGTTCCTGGGAGGGACTGACAAACAAGGGAAAATGTCAGCATCAGCCTGCACCACCGAAACAGCACTGTACTCTGGAAAGCAAGTGACTCAGAAACCACTATGGGTACGGAGACAGAAACATTCCCTTACATGCACTCGGAAGGCCATGCTGTGGCCCACCTCATAGGGGTCCTTCCAATCCCAGGACACTTTGCAGGACCGGGGATCCAGGTAATTTCCCCGCACGTAGTCATAAATGGTCCGGTCCCCGCGGCGCTCACGGTCTTCATTCTGAAGAAAGCTGACTACGCGTGCGGCAAGCTCAAGGAGGAACTTAATTGTGAAGAAGAAGGCAACCACAGACACTGTGATTCCACCTGCGGAAAGAGAAAGCACACCACCTGCCAGTTACATACCACAGCTCCCACAGCACATGTGGTCAGCCTCCAAAGCTTAAAGGACGTCTGGATGAGTCTGCAACACTGTAAAAACAAACACTATACCACCGGGCAAAGAGAGAAACCTCTAAACCAGGAGTAGGTAACTACAGTACTCAGGGCAAATCCCACACACTGCCAGTTTTCTGTAAATAAAGTTATGCTGGGACGTTGCCTCACCCCGTCCTAAACAAACTGTGGCAGCTTGTGCACCACCCAGGCAGAGCTGAGAATTGGAAGAATACTGTATGTTTTTCAAAACGAGAACATATTTGCTCTCCTGCCTTTTACAAAAGTCTGCTGACCCTGTTCTACTCCATGACACCCATACAATGTCCCTCCACCTTCCTGCCTGTGCTGCCCCTCACAGAAGCAGTCAAATCAATGTGCTTTTTGGTACTCTCCATTTGGAAGCCTTTTGTTTTCTTGTCCACTTGGCAAAAGCCTTCCACCAGCCCCAGCAGTTAGGGGTTCCTCCTCTTGGGCTTCCTCAAACTTCTTCCTCCTTGCCCCCCCACCCCCATAGTGTGAACTCCTTAAAGGCAGATTTTTGTCTTGATTTGGACTTTACAGTAAACACTGTCTGGCACAGACTGTAATTATCCAATAAATATTTCCCAAATGAATGAACTTCTCTGCCAACTGTGTGAAGGTACGTTCTGGCACAAGTGAAAATATTTCTAGCTCCATTTTCAAGGAGAAGGAAGAGAGATAAGGAGGCAAATAGGAACTAGACAACAATAGCCCAAAGACAAGAAGAAGAACTTTCTATCACATACCAATAACGTAAAACATCAGGTCTCTTCAATGCCAACAGACAGCCAAGGATCACAGCCGCAACTGCAAAAGAAAATGTGTTCAGTGTCTCCCCAACTCTCTTAAAGCCACCTAGGGTGGGAGATAAGGAGAGCATAAGGCTTAAGCCAGCCTGCTCTAGTCTAGTGCCTTGACACCCCTGTCCTCTCTGCCAAGCGTGACAGGGGCGATGCCATGGGTCACACAAATATAGTGAGGTCATAGCACTCCCTACAAAGGTAAGAATCTACTGACCACTCTTGGAACACCACAAGCAGCCTCTTGCTTCAGGCTAATGACAAAATGAAATTAGACAGCTTTCATCTTCTCAGACTCTGGGTTCCCAAGACAGTTTCCTTCTTCCATGCAAAGTGGTACTAATTAACGCAAGGAAGAAGATAATGGAATGCTTTCCCTGAATGCTATTTGCCCTCTAAAAGTAATTCAGCTAAGTAGAAACAGCTAGATAAATTGAAGATTTTTTTTTTTTTTTACAAGTAAACATGGTCATGGTGTTGGCATTATGTAACTAAAATGAACTCTGGGTCATCCCAATAATAAGCAGTGGGTACAGAGAAGTCATTCCCGACATTACCAAATCACACAAACTAATGGGCCCTCAGGAAGATGACTTCAACAGAAGGCTAGGGAGAGGAACAAGAGAACAAGAGGAACAAGGGTACCTTCATCCTAAGTGGTGTCCACTAAGGCCTGAGTCAGAGGGGACATTGTCACTGTCATTCAACTTGTCGTCCCCCCACCGCCCCCATTTCTACAGCAGCACCCAGAACTTACTACTTAGAGACAGGATTTATCCAAATATTTCTAGACTCAGATCTTGGCGAGCACAAAACAGCTCTGAAAAGGGGACAGGAAAGCAAACGCCTGTGTGCTTTTACATCTGATTGTGCTTCAAGTTTTTAAGAGTGAGAGAGGAGACTCAAGTACTTGGGAGGCTGAGACAGGAAGACTGCCAACAGTTCAAGACCCTGTCTCAAGACCAAAAGCAAAGGTGCTGAGGAGCATGAGGACTTGAAGTCTGATGCCCCAGAACCCCTGTTAAACAGGTGTGGGAGAAGCAGCCATGACAGGACTCCTTGAACTCGTGGGCCAGCCAGTAGAGCAAAATCAACTCCAAGGATCAGTGAGAAATGCTGTCTCAGAAAGTGAAATGAAGAACAACTGAGAAAGACACCCAATGTCAACTTCTGGCCTCCCCTGAATGCATGTGCAAGAGCACCTGCACACATACGTATGGACACACTAAATGTATGTATACACATAATGGAGACAGAAAACATCCCCTCTCAGTTCCTGTGTCAATAACACATTAAATGAACCTCCAGAGTGGGTAACTTAAAGAATGACCATCTCAACTTTCCCAGGAATTCCTATAGACGAGTCTAAAGTGCTGCTAGAAAAGAAACCCACAAGGAACAGCGGAACTGTCAGCACGCGCAGTCTCGGTACTCCCTGAGAAGCTCTAGATGTCTCTATAGGGATGACATGGGGCTCAAAGCCTGAGACTACAATTACTGCGCCTCCTTCCAAACACTCGCTCCTCTCTGGGGGCTCTATGTAGAAAAGCTGTCACCATATGGCTTACAAGCATCTCTCTGCACCTTCCAGGCTATTCTAGATGGTTCCATGGCATCAAACCGGAAGTTTAGCTGTCTGAGGTACTTCTAAAATGGGTGGTCACCCAATGTGAAGCTGGATGTCAAACTTCCAGGCCTCGAGGAAGCTCTGGCATCTGACAAAAGTGAAGCGCATGTGGCCGATGACACTGTCATCTCAAGCCTCTTGATCCTTGGAGGAGACTTACAGCTTGGACACAGAGCAGGACAACTCTCACCCTCCTCTAACGAGTACAACCTTCCCTCCTCCGTGAGGCAGCTGGCAAACAGGCAGCCAGAGCCTGAAGGCAGGGTCAGAGCTCCAACTACCTGCACCACCTTGTGAGCGTCACAATTTTTGTGCCGATGTGACAAGTTAAGACTTAGTGTTTGCTGTGTCACCTCCTTTAGCGAGTGACTTTGGTATAACTCTCCACGGCAATGACAGGTTGACAACCAGAGAGCCTAACAAATAGTAAGATACAGAGGAACACAGCAGGTGCCTTGATCCTTGAGTTAAGACTCACAAGTTCAAACTGTGACCCTGGCCAAGCCATCTCCTCTTTCTACCAAGTGCCAGTTCTCTGTCAAATGGGGAGAATACTCACATGTACATTTGCATGATGTGAGAATTTAATGTTAGGCTGGAACTATGCCTGGAACACAGTGAGTTTTCGGTCTTCGTGGTACTTATCTCCAGAACTAGCATCACAACTCCTCTGCTTCAGAGCTGACAGGAAATTCAGGGACCCTCTACTGACACCAATGCTCTTCAAGGAGAAAGGTATTGACAATTACAAAGGACATGGTTTCTCTCTGGACCAACAAATCTTACCTTCAAGAGAACTCTTCACACTATTCTGATGTGGAGGACTGAAAATCTTTATAAGCTAAAAACTCATTACAACAAGCCAGCCAACAGATACTGAGTGTCTAACATGTCAGGAGCTGGGGAATGGCACACACCGTAATGTCCACTCACGACATCACCAATAATCACCTTTGCCTTTTTGAACCCTCCTTGGTCATTATCTCCCCCTAATCATTTATGTCTCAACCAAATTATTAGTACTGTCTTTTACATCACTTAGACCTTTTTCAGTAAGTCATTTCTTCATCTCTACCACAATCCTCTTGGCAGCTTACACCAAGTACCAATGACTACTTCTTCCCAATGACTCTTCTTCTCTCAGAACCCATGAGTCAGGAACTAGCTCTGTCATTTCCTCACCCATTGGTCTGACCTTTATAAACCACCCCTGCTCTAACATCACAGCTCAAAACCTTCCCTAAAATACTCACCCTTTTCCAAGATTTCCCCAAGGTCACATTCTGAACGGTAATCCTCTACATCTTCTCCCTTTCTCCTTCCTCCTTAATGTTGTTACCCAGCCTCCCTGGCTCTCAGGGGTTCTCTCTGCCCTGTCTGTCCTGTTACACCCTACACTGCTCTCCTTAACCATATCTCATACACTCATTCATCATTTCCCCTCATTATCCATTCTATGTTGTCCAGTCAGATCCTTTATACTCACACATCCACACCCTGAAATGTCCTGTCTCCATGCCTTTTCAACGCCATCTCCTGGTACAGCAAACCTGGTCAAAAACCCACGATTGAGGTCACAGACCCTGGCAGAGAAGCTACTGCATTGTTGAGCTACATGGACGCACTGTGTCTGTTAAATGGGCCTTCTAAAGAACTGGTTATACTCATAGGCTGCTGTTTTTGTCACCTGTGGTTATGAGAGCCTTCTATTCGCTGTGGGCAGGGGTAACTGTAGATTCACAGCTGGTCAAATTGATAAGAAGAGTGACGTGAAGCCGGGCGGTGGTGGCGCACGCCTTTAATCCCAGCACTCGGGAGGCAGAGCCAGGCGGATCTCTGTGAGTTCGAGGCCAGCCTGGACTACCAAGTGAGTCCCAGGAAAGGCGCAAAGCTACACAGAGAAACCCTGTCTCGAAAAACCAAAAAAAAAAAAAAAAAAAAAAAAAAAAGAAGAGTGACGTGAACATTCAACAATAAATGGGACATTGGCATCACCCTATTCAAGGCTCAAGGAGCACTGGAGAAGAGAAGGCCAAAGAATTTAAGAGCCAAGGATGGAGTGAAGTGGTGGGATGCTGTCTTCTAGACATGACATGAACTTGCAGGAGCTGTGATTACCTGTATAAGACCTGCACAAGATGGAGCCTGTTAATATCCTATCATGGAGAAGGAATGAACTCATGAGGCCCCACCCTTTCCTGAGGATTTATAGGTAGTCTTCAGTGACAGAGCCACTGATAAAGTGCCTATGCTCCTGCAAATATAGTCAAAATGTATTATACACACACACTATATAATATATATTATATATATAATATATACATATTTTGTTTTATTTATTTATTTATTTATTTATTTTGTTTTTCGAGACAGGGTTTCTCTGTGTAGCTTTGCGCCTTTCCTGGGACTCACTTGGTAGTCCAGGCTGGCCTCGAACTCACAGAGATCCGCCTGGCTCTGCCTCCCGAGTGCTGGGATTAAAGGTGTGCGCCACCACCGCCCGGCTTGTTTGTTTTTTGAGACAGGGTTTCTCAGCATAGTTTTGGTGCCTGTCCTGGATCTCGCTCTGTAGCCCAGGCTAGCCTCGAACTCACAGAGCTCTGCCTGGCTTTGCCTCCGGAGTACTGGGATTAAAGGCGTGTGCCACCACCGCCTGGTTATATACACATATTTAATTAATTTATGCCAATAACTTTTTTTAAAGTCATGTCCACTGTCTATACATTCTCCCATTTTCAGTTTTCATCCATGGACTACTTCTGAATTTGTACTTAACTTTTTAAAATTTGTTTTATGGCATTTACATTCTTTTATTCCTGTTTTATTTTTCATTTCAAAAAAGTACCTAATATGAGACAAAAACTAACTTTTTTATTCTTTTGTTTTGTTTTGTTTTTTCAAGACAGGGTCTGTCCTGGAGCTCACTTTGTAGATCAGGCTAACCTCAAACTCACAAAGATCCACCTTCCCGAGTGCTGGGATTAAAAGTGTGTGCCACCACCACCCAGCTGACAAAAACTAATCTTAAAACTTCTCCTATTGGAGCCAAAGTTGGCTTAGTTGGTACCTAAGTTTGAGTCCCCAGAACCCATGTAAAAAAGCCTGAAATCCCAGCCCTGCTTAGGGCAGAGACAAGTGGATCTCTGAAGCTCACTGGCTAGTCATCCTAGCCAGGTTGATAATAAGCTTCAGGTTCAGTGAGATAGTCTGACTGAAAAAATAGAGGTGAAAAGTGATCAAGGGAAGACGCTTATCAACCATGGGCCTTCTTCACACATGTGTACACATGTGATGGATTTGCATCAGCACATACATACATAACAACAAAACATACCAAAAAAAAATTTAAATCCTCACCCAGTGTAATAGTAGAGAGAAACCACAATAAATATGACTAAAGTATTGGTTAGATGGTATCATCAAATGTCTGTTCTTCCCTTTGTTCAGATGCCTGTGGTTCAAGAGTTTCACAGATGGACCTTCCTTTAGATACAGTTTAGTTCTGTTAGCTGTAGTCCTGGGATGGAAACCAGACCTCAAGCATTAAGCAGAGGTCTACCACTAAGCTACACTCCTAACCCTAATACTGTTTTTGTTGTTGTTGTTGTTTTTTATCTTGTTTTGAGGGGGGGTGTTTGCTTTTGTTCTTTGTTTTTAGACAGAGTCTTTCTACATAGCCCTAGCTGAACTATATCAACCAAGCTGACCTCAAACTCACAAAGATCCGACTGCCTCTGCCTCCTGGGTACTGGGATTAAAATTGTGTGCCACCACATTCAGCCCCAATACAGTTTTGTTTTGTTTTTTTTTTTATTATTTATTTATTTATTATGTATACAGTGTTCTATCTACATATACACCTGCAGGCCAGAAGAGGGCACCAAATCTCATTACAGATGGTTGTGAGCCACCATGTGGTTGCTGGGAATTGAACTCAGGACCTCTGGAAGAACAGCCAGTGCTCTTAACCTCTGAGCCATCTCTCCAGCCCCCCAATACAGTTTTAAAACATCTATTTCATTACCAATATATTCACTTGAACCAATATATTTATTTAAGCTCTTTTAGATCCCAGATGACTAATTTAATTAGCTCAGTAAGTGTATCAGATGTTCACAAGGAGGGCCGTGGGTTCTCTCTCAAACATGCTACTTTCTACAGCAGTCTGTATCTACAGCACTCTCCACTTTCTGCTGCTCCCACTCTCTGCAAACTACACTGGACCCTTTCCACTCTAATCCAAGCATAGAGAAACATGGTAAGCATACTGCTCTACCAATTTCCTTCCCTGCGTTGGCCGACACTCCTCTCTTCCAGGATCCTTGCCCTTATACGGTCTCACAAACTACGACACTCTAAGCTCAGGGAGCAACAGGAGTACTCATAAACTAGTAACTCACAGGTATGTACAACCTGCAGCTTGTGGGCCACATGCAGCCCAGGATAGCTCTCAATTTGGCCCAACACAAAACCTTTAATTTACTTCAGCATTATGAGATTTTTTTTCCTTATTGGTAACTCAACTGCACAGTTCTAGAGTATGACCTTTGTAAATGACCAGATTGTGTCACAATATCGAAAGGCTGGACTTGTCCCAGTGAATGAGGCGTTCTCTAGTACTAAGTACTCAGGCTAGCCATTGCCCAATGGGCTTTACATATCTTATCCTAAGTACCTTAACTGTGATCACAAAATAAACACTATTATTCTCATTTCACAGGTAAAGCAAACAAACAACAGAAAAACTGGGCTTAGAAAAGTACATTTGCAGCCAGGCAGTGGTGGTGCACACCTTTAATCCCAGCACTAGGGAGGGAAAGGCAGGCGGATCTTTGTGAGTTCCAGGCCAGCCTGGTCTACAAAGCAAGTTCGAGGACAGCCAAGGCTACACAGAGAAACCCTGTCTCATAAAACCAAAAGGAGGGCTGGAGAGATGGCTCAGAAGTTAAGAGCACTGGCTGTTCTTCCAGAGGTCCTGAGTTCAGATCCCAGCAACCACATGGTGGCTCACAACCATCTGTAATGAGATCTGGTGCCCTCTTCTGGCCTGTGAGCATGTATGTAGGCAGAACACTGTATACATAATAAATAAATAAATCTTTAAAAAAAAAAAAACCAAAAGGAAAGAAAAAAGAAAAAAAAAGGAAGAAAAGTAAAGTTGCTGAGATTTTTCTCTCCCACAATCATCTGAGTAACAGGCCCACGTCTAATTGAAGCCCCCAGCTTTGAACCTGTAATGCTGAATCATGAAAAAGAATAAAGTCACAGAAAGAGTCAAGTATTTGAGAAAAAAGATTTAAGAACACAAATTAACAATTAAAAGAAAGAGAGAAAAAAAAAGTCACCCAATCTAACAGTAAGGAATCTCACAGCAAAGCTAAAATTAGGACTACAAGCTCCTCCAGCTTTTTGTTATCTTTTGAAGTAAAACCAACGTACGGCAACACGAAGTGGAACGCAGTGCCAACTCTAGCAGAGAAACATCACTCACTGACTGCAGGGTCCTGGCAAGTTCCTTAATACTAGAGCACTTGCGCTCCCAGGAAAGGGAGGAGATGCTGAAAATACCTATCTTCAGGAAATGCTGACAGACAGACATATTCTAAAGTTTACAACATCCAATACATTTTAGCCCCATCACTGAAGATCAGTTGTAAAAAAGGTCATTTTTCAAAAAGGAAGAATTAGTTTCTTTATATTAAAACCTGCTCTGCCAGTCAAACCTCACTGCCACCCATGCTTCCCCTGCATCTTTTGCTGAAGAGGCTGAGGGTCTGATCACTGATCCGTGTTTGACATCCCAGTAGCTAAGTCTCAGAACAATCTATTGCCTCAGGGTTGAGATCAGGCCGTGTCCTGTCCTATTGGTCCATGTTGTATAAAAGTGGTTTTTCAGTCTGTGGCCTGCCTAAGTAACTCCCCAGTTTTACAAGCAGCAGTAAACCCCGTTTTGAGGATGGAGGATGACTGTACCTTGGTGGGCATGTAAACAACAAGGTGTCCAGCACCACCCACAAGCATAGTCCGATACATAACTTAGTCCTCAAAGTAGAAAGAGTGTCACACTATAAATTTATTAAATTAATTGGACTGTAGTACCACATGTGCGGAAGTGAGTCTCATTAGGAAACACAGGAGTTTATAAGGCACACCGGGACAGACACTGAGGAAAGGTGCAGCTCTCTCACCTGAGCTTCATAAAGAGGAAGACAACTAACTCTGCAACCCGTCATCTGACTATGCACTGTGCGTGTGCGAGTGCGCGTGTGTATCTATTGAGAGGTGTGCGTGTGCGCATGTGTATCTATTGAGAGACAGAGTTTACTTCATGATGAACAATGTGTGATCTGAGAGTAAACATTAGTAATTAAGACTGAAGTAAGAGAACCTGTGCTTGTCTTGGCCAGCTATCAAGGAAAGCGGGTCTGCTTGGCAAATTGCTGCCAACAAAACCACTATACAATGTGAACTGATTGTTCTCCAGTCAAAGGACACTGTAGAAAGTGTTTCTGACACAGTGCACTTAGTAATACTCACCTTGAAACGAGGGCCCATGTTCTGAGAACCAAGTCATTCACCAAAGCAGTTAACTTTTGGCTCCTTACACTTGTCTTCTAACTTGAACAAGAAAAAAAAAAGCAAAAAGTCACCAGAAAGGACCTGTCCAGCAGATGTTCATTGAGGTTATGTGTGTCCCAGTAAGCAAAGAGTCAGGGTTTCTGCATTGAAGCAGCTGATTCTGAGGTGCAGAAATACAACCCAAGAATATATCATCCCTGGACTTCTCTGGTGCAAGATGAAACCAATCACAGAAGATGCATCCAGTCTGGCACACCAGGGTCCTCCTATAAAGAAAAGAGTAAGTGCAGTAAGTTTTTGTTTCTGAAACAGATTTCATAATCCAAGCACCACCCCCCCCAAAACAACCCAGCAACAGAGGAGCTACAACATGCAGCAAGTACATGCAAAGTAACTAACTGAGTGTTGGTAAATCCTGACCAAGCTTTCCAACAGAAACTCCATAGTACTGAAGCTACTCCAACTCCACAAGGGCACCCTCGCTGCCTGCAAGCATGTCACTTCCTACAAGCTCCAGCACTTTAGATGCCATCTTTCAGCAAGGTAAGGTAGGGTACAGACTTAAAGCGGCTCCTCCCAGCCTCAGGCCTAGCTGCAGCTTAACAGGGCTGGGACACAGCGTGGGAAGAGAACCGAGATGGATGCACAGCAGAGGCACAGAAACGACTCACTCCTCAGCTGGCAAGAAGCAGAGCTTTAGAACCGCATCTATCGGCCTGTGCAGGCTACCTCCTCTGCACCCATGCCCACAGTTCCGAGACATGGTGAAAGATGATATTATGAGGGCTGGAGAGATGGCTCAACAGTTAAGAGTACTGGCCACTCTGGACGTTCTTCCGAAGGACTGGACTCAGGTTCAATTTCCAGCACCCACATGGCAGCTCACAACTGTCTGTAACTCCAGTTCCAGAGGATGTGACATCCTCACACAGACATACATGCAGGCAAAACCCCAATGTACATTTTTTAAAAATGGCATTATCACTAAATTTTAAAAATCTGGCTAGGTGTAGTAGTACATGCCTGTAATTCCAGCACTTGGGAGGCTAAGGCAGAAGGATCATGAGTTCAAGACCAAAAAAGGGAGTGAGGAGCTGTAAAATCTGCTCCTGTAAGTAAGGGAAGGGAGAAATCTGTCAACTTTCATAATAAATTACCAAATAAAGTCAGTTCACAACTCTCAAAGACATTCAGGGACCAAATGTAGCAGAAGGGGCTTATGGGCATATATACACAAAGAGCTACTATAAAGCAGATGAAAACAGGCTACTAATCAGTACATGGCAGCAAGAGACAAGCTCACCAATGGCACAAATACTATCAGCACTTCCTAACTCACAACACAGACACAGGACTATTCATCCTGATTTTACCGTCCAGGACATAAAGGGCAAGGTATGTTCTCAGTTACTCACAAAAAGTAGCAGACAGTCTGGCCTTAGAGTCCACGTTTTTAGTGACTGTTTTCCTATCTTTCCGCTGAGGGAAACCAAGGGAGAAAATACAAAGTGCTAAACAAACCAGAACAGAAGGACTGGAGGCCAGCAGATCAAATAAGTTGGCAGACTTCTATAATTAAAACTGAGTAAGTCTATGCATGTATTTTAACACATGGTGATGGACTTGCCAAGTACATGAGCCAAAACATGGGTCAACCAGCAATTGGAACCAGTTTAAAGGATCTACAAACAAGGGAATAGTTATGTAAACTATTAAAGATCCTCATGATAGAATGTTATACGATAATTTAAAAATGAAACTTTTGAGAACAAAACACCAGATTGGGAAATGCTCACAAATAAAGTATTAAATGAAAAAGCAAGCACAACACTGCTCATACGTTACAAGCCCAGTCTTAGAAACAGCATTATATAATGATACAATGATTTACAAATGGTAGTTGGAGGGATTCCTCAGTGATTAAGAATGATTGCTGATCTTACAGAGGACCTAACTTCAGTTCCGAGCACCCACACTGGGCAGCTCACAACCACTAGTAACTCCAGATCCAGGGGATCTGACACCCTCTTCTGGTGTCCACAGGTACACACATACAGGTTGAGAACCGCTGAGATAGAATCTCATGTAGCTCAGAGTAATCCTAAACTCACTGTGTAGCCAAGGATGGCCTTGATCTGATTTTCTTGCCTTTACCTCCCAAGCTCTGCCCAACATAGGTACTGGAGACTGAACTCAGATCCTCTGGAAAAGCAGTACAACACCCTCTTAACCACTGAGACGGCTCTCCAGCCCCAGTTTTCCAGATTTTTAACAAAACAAAGACAAAGTAAAAGTTTCTATTTCTGGAGAGCATTTAATTTGGGGGACCTATTTTCTTTAACAGGGGGATAGAGAATAGGCAAATTATCTTTTTGGGTTTCTGTTTTTTGTTTGTTTTTTCTTTTGGAGATAGGGTCTCCTGTAGCCCAGCTTGGCCTCAAACTCACTATATAGTCAACGATGACTGAACTCTCCCTCCTGTCCCTGCCTCCCAGTGCTGGGATTACAAGCAAACACCACCTTGCTGGGTTTAAGTTACCTTTTTTTCAAATAATGAAACGGTATAAAAAAGTTACAATAAATCATAATGAAGTTTTATTTCTATTCATTATTTTATTAGTGGCTCTTCAATTTTGTGATCAGCTACTTGGCTAATAAATCAAGTAACTCCCTCCTAGCTCTTATCTAACCTGTCCCTACTATGAATATGCTATCCCAATGCTTCAGCACCTCTACTGAGCTTCAAGACTCAACCGAAGCTGATATCCCTGTCAGGCCCAGCTCCCAGGCTTCACTATGGCCTCTACCCATGCCAGGCAGAACCAATCACTTCCTTCTTCGTGTTATTCGTACACACTATTAGTCTGCATTATAATAATCTGTTTACATAACAGTCAAGTAGTAAGAAATGGTAGTTCCCGGGGATTCACAGTGTGTCTTAACCACCTCTGCCTTCCATTGTTAATAAGGTGCTTGGCCCTGGGTTCCCAGGGTCTGCACTCTATCACAACACTTCAACGTTTCAGAAGCACTGCCTCAACTGTAGAGCAGGCAGCCCAATATCCCCATGTTCTAACAGGGTTACAGTAATCCTTACGTTGCTGGTCTTAGAGACTGTGGTTTCAAGTGCAAGAGACTAAAGCAGGAGTCAGTGAAATTTTAATTTGTAGACCTCTGTCTTTTTAAGCACAAGCGGAACAAAGATGGCCAAGTCATTCATTCGCATACCCAGCCTATACATACTCAGTTTTTGCACAGCAAGTCCGAGCCCGGCAGCTGCAGAAGAGATGTATGCATGCATTATCTGACCTTTGGGGGCTAAGTCAGATACCTGGCTTTCAGACAGGGTCTCTCTACGTAGCTGGCCTTGACCTCACAATCCTCAGGTCCCAGCTCCCAAAAGCTGTGCTTACAACCTTGTGCTACTACAACTATCCCAAAGGTCTTATCTTAAAGTTATGTAGCTGCCTTTTGTAAACACGAATATATCCCTATAATAAATCAAGGAAAGCATAAAAATTCTTTTCTTCCCATCCTACTACCCGCCCCCTTCTAGAAAAAGAGCTAGAAAACTTACAGAACTGTGCAAAGTATTCTCATTTCTATTCTTTCTCCCTCTTGAGGGTTGGTAATCAGGCTCTCAGTATGTAGTACTGAAACTCATCATCCTCCTGTCTCCACTTCCCAACTATTCCTGGCTCTTATTTTAACTCTTATTTAAAAGTCCCATGTCTATATTCATAGGACAACTGGGAATTTTAGTCAATCATTTCCAAAGGGCCTAGCAAGAGGATCTGTTATACATGCACCTGAAGGATAAAACACATTACTGTTCCTAAAATTATTTTCATACATACTAATGACTCAGTCTGCTTTCAAAATGCCACTGGAACATTTTTAAAGATTTACTTATTTCATGTGTTTGAGTGTATCTGTATGTATGTATATGCTCCCCATGTGTGCTTGGGGAAGGTCAGAAGAGGACACTGGATCCCCTGGAACATTTTTAAAGATTTACTTATTTTGTGTGTTTGAGTGTATCTGTATGTATGATACAGCTCCCCATGTGTGCTTGGGGAAGGTCAGAAGAGGACACTGGATCCCCTGGAACATTTTTAAAGATTTACTTATTTCATGTGTTTGAGTGTATCTGCATGTATGTATATGCTCCCATGTGTGCTTGGGGAAGGTCAGAAGAGGACACTGGATCCCCTGGGACTGGAATTATGAACAGTTGTGAACCATCAGCTAGGTGCTGGGAACCAAACCCAGGTCCTCTTCAAAAGCAGCAAGTGCTCCTAACCATGATCCTTCCAGCCCTCAAAACACTATTCTAAGAAACCAAGAAAACACGCATGTGAAGGTCCACTTCGGGTAATTTAGAGATAGTGGCAGCATGCAAGAGTTCTAATATCACTAACTGGTTTCCACAAAACAAGGCAGAATGTGGAAAAAAATGTATTTCTCAGACATATTCTCCAACATTAAAAAAAAAAAAAATCAGCTGGCACAAGGTCCAAAGGGCAGAGTGGTCTAAGAAGATTCCCAGAAATAAAGTATCCTACCCTATGCTTTGAACTGCTGGTTTGTAATTACGCCGCCTCAATTTTACTCTTGGATTTTTTCTCCCCATCCCAAACCCTCCCCAATCAAGTTTATATTCTTGAGATATTTATACAGTTGTATACTTCTGCTGTCTTGGCTCAGCCAAGTTATACGGTTTTCATTTCTAGTCTTTCCTCATCAGTCAGTCTCTTCAGTCTTTTACGCATTCCTGTGGGTCTCCTGTGAACTCTCTCCAACCGGTCCCCAGCACTCTTGTAATGAGGTGCCTCCAACTGACTGCAGCCTTCCAGGAACAGCCCAGTCAATCAGAACAAGATGAGCTCACCCTCCTCTGTCCCATGACATAATACTTCGGAGTGGGCAAGCCCCCAAATCACAGAAAGCTGGTGTGCTGCCATACTAGACTAAACCTCGATCTTTATCTCTCAGTTCTGGGCACTGGGGCATGCAGAACACACCAAAACCGAGAGGATAAATGGTATGTCTTGCAATATTTCTCTTATTGGAGGAGAAAGTGAGCAGAGAGGAAAAATTATTTTCAAGTTATATATACAGATAAGAACAGAGAACACAAAAGTTTCATGAATTTCTAAAGCTAAATCATTGATATGTTCAAAACAGTTGTACATATTTTATACTTAAGACCAAAAGGTTCCTTGACGCTATGCTGCCAACTGCTGCCCCCGCCATGGGCCTTAAA